CTAATCAAGAAAACAGACTAATTAGTGTTTGCACTAATCAGCCCGCGCACCCCCTTTGATTGGGGAAGGCCGCGGCCTTGGGAGTGCTGCTCCCCTCCCCGGCAACGGCGCCACTGTTAGGAGGAAACCCAGGGAGGGGGCCCTGTCCGTCGCTGAAGCCAGGGACAGCAGCGTCTGTCACCCGCCGTGCCCGCTTCAGAGGTCCTCAGCAGGGGTCAGGGGTTGCATTGATGGTATACCTGTCGCGCACAGTACTTGTGAGCTGGACCTGAAGCCCCTTTTTGAGCATTGTAGAAGAAAAGAAAAGAAAAGAGAAATTAAAATAAATTAAAATAAAATATCATTTGCAGATCTGCCCTGCAAATCTGAGATCTGGGTTCGAGCTCGATCTGAGCGTCGCATTACTGTGCGGATCCAAAAATCAYGAGTGAGAGGTGGGCTGGCATTATGTCTATTCATCCTCGAAGCAGCGATCTGAACGGTCACTTTGTTKAGCTTCAAGTCCCCCTCCGTCCAGTGGTGTCCGATCGTTAGTTCATCCTTTCACCCCGGAGTTATGACCCTCAATAGACTCCTGTCTCAAAACTCCTCCCGAACACAGGTAGTTTCCCAGCCTCAAAAGCTCTCTCTCTCTCTCTCTCTCTCTCTCTCTCTCTCTCTCTCTCTCTCTCATTCTCTCTCTCTCTCTCTCTTGCACACTATCAAATCACTATCCGCTGCCCTTTTCCTCTCTCTTTCATGTGACCTATCACGCAGCCCCACACAGTTTCTCTCTCTCAGCCCTACTACTCAGTGYYTGTCGCCTTTCCCACTCTTTGTCTCTTACACGCACTCTCACGCTCACACTCTCACACCTCTTTGTTCTCCCTCTCACTTTCTCTCAGCCTGAGTACTCTCTCACACTCCTTCCACACCCTTTTCACGCACCGTCAGGTTTGTACAGCTTAATGCGCGGATCCGAAATTAAGGCCAGGCAATGAAGGCATCATTACCGGTCCTCTTGTTGGGAGGTCATCAAGAGACCGTCCGAGTTTGAGCGTTCGAGTGCAATCTCTGAAATTTTACCAGAACGAATATGTACTTAATTGCTTGCCCCAGTTGTTCAGCAACATGACCTGACTGCAGCTTCGCTCTACATCAGAATATTTCAAATATTTATTAATAAACAATATACCCTATCAAGGAGATTCGGAGAGTAATCAGGGAAAAATTGTTTTTCAAAGGTCTCAAGTGTCGTCTTTCAGATAGTCTTCAGATACTTGTTTGATGAGGAACCACCCCTGACTGGATGAGAATGAAGGCTTCGTGGCTGCCTGTTGGGATGCTTTGAAAATAAGTGATATTTACTATTAAATTGCTAATTTTGCAGAAACCCATCAGAGTGGAATAATGAAGCTCTTTCATATGAAGTTAGGATACCCGGTGTTGGATGCTCAATCTTCGGAAAAACTCGTCTCAAGGTGTCTCTAACGCAAATGAACGCTCGTCCTAGTCAATCAGTGCAATTTAGGCCTTCAACAATAGACACAAGCCCCCTGTCCCGTTATTATCAATGACAATAAATAATTGTGGAGAAGGTCTTCACCTGTGTCAAGCACCACGCATGACGGGATAACAGATCCTGTACTAATCTCTGGTGGTCAGTCACATTCGCCTCAAACAACTTCAAGCATTGATTATCAGATTGACAACACTCCGGAATTTTGGCACTTCATTAGCCTGCATCAACAGTTGCCCCGTGACCGGCCATTCTGACAGCTAAGAGGGCAATTCCCTCGGACATTGGGAAAGTGTTTGAAGTTGCACCCTCACTGCACGTGGTCAAAACCTGGCGG